TAGAGATGGGCAAATTAATTTTGTACGTAATAATTACTTATGACTTACCGATTACTTAATGTTAAGTAATTATTACATTAATTAAGTAATTAATATGTAAGTGATCACATGATAACGGAAATTAATTTTCGACGACTTAACGTTAATGTTAGATAACATAGTAAAAATTAATTAAATAAACTTTATATTAAGTTACGGCGATATATAATTATGATGTATTTATTAGACAATTTCGAAACTGGCTTTTTTTTTTTCATTTAAATATGAAAAATATTTTTATTCTTTTTGGCGATCTAATAAATCAAAAAAAAAACAAAAATTATTACCTATAATAATGTCAAATTGGCCTTTGCCGAATCCAGATGTTCAATGTTTGCTTCGTACGCTTCCAACCAAAAGCACTGGCCATCCAATTGGTCCTCTTTGGCAGGCTTTTTCTCCAGTCCCGACAGATAAAAAACCCAAAGCAAGATGTATTTTCTGCAATCATGATAAACCCATATCGGGTACTGCAGCAGTAATGAGTTCACATGTTAAAAAATGTTCAAAAATTTCTTTAGATGTTCGAACATATCTTCTTAATGCTTATCAATTTCAACAACAAAAAAATGTGATAAACTCAACTATTATACGGGATCAACAACCTGGTAATTCCTTGGATGAATCAATTGCATTACCCATGTCAACTTCGAATTGGTCAATTGTTTCTACACAATCAGATAATAATATTGCACAATTGCCAATTGATGTTTATGAATCTAATCAATTATTGTTGGAGAGTATTATAGAAGGTGGTGCGCCTCTTTCTTTTGTGGATGCTAAAAAATTTAAAGAGTTTGTTCGTTCAATTAATATGCATTATAATGTCCCAGCACGAAAACAACTTACAACCAAGGTTCTTAATGACGTTTATAAAAAAGTTCAAACTTCAGTTCAAAAGTTTATTTGTAAGTCTGAGTGGATTTCTATTGCAACTGATGGATGGACAAACATCCGTCAAGATCATATTATAAATTTTATGGCTATTGGCAAAAATCGAAGAACTGAGCTTGTTAAAATTAAAGATACTTTTGGAGAAAGTCAAACTTCAACAGTTATTTTTAGAGATTTAGAAGATATTTTAATACGAATTGGTACTGAAAAGATCAATGCGATTATTACTGATGGAGCTGCAAATTATATTCGTATGAAGGCTATGCTTACTCAAAAATATTCAAATATCTTGGCATTACCATGTACAGCACATGAATCAAATCTTTTAGTTGCTGACATGTTAAAGCATGAATATATGAAATTGACTATAAATTTGGCTACAAAAATTATTACTTATTTGCGAAAAAGTACACAGGCTATCCAATATATTCGAGCCCGTATAAATAATAGTACATTTCGGTTTTCACTTCCTACTTTTACACGATGGAATTCTTTTTTTGTATCTTTACAACAAGTGCAAAATAAGGAACAATATTTAAAGGACATGGCATATGAAATGGAATCACGTTTAGACAAAGCTATCATATCCATTCTTAAGGATAATATATTTTGGCACCATTTAAGAATTATTGTTCGTATATTAGAAACTTATTCTCTTATTCCTATTATCTTGGAATCTCGCCAAGCTACATATGCTGATACAGTTTATTTTTGGGCAAAAATGCAAATAATGGTTAATACAATAGATGATGTTAATTTTAAGCAATATGTTAGTACACGAATTCAGCATCGTTGGGATAGAATGTATCATCCACTTTTTCTTGTCTGCTGGTCTCTCCATCCTCAATATGTACTTTCAAATGCTATTCGCCCAGAACTTGCAACTGTTATTAAAAAAGAAGCAAGCTTGTTATTCGAATCTCTTTTTCCTAATAAGGATATTATGAGATTTCGAAAGCAATTAATTGATTGGAAGAATAAGGCTTATCCTTTTGATTTTGAAGGTAATTGGGATGACTATCTAATTAAAGATCCAGTGTATTTTTGGAATAACTTTCAAAGCGAAGTACCTGAATTAGCACTTTTTGCTTCTCGAATTATGAGCATTCCACCAACATCAGCTGATAGTGAACGATTCTGGTCTGTAATTTCAAATATACATACACCACGACGAAATAAATTAACAAATGATAATGCCTTTAAATTAACCTGCATTCGGTGGAATATGACTCAAAAAGAAGATTGTACTTCTAAGAATAACAATATTAAAAATGTTGAGCAAATCGTTCAACAAGATATTGTTCAACAAGATACTATCATGACTGATTCTAATGAAGCAAATATTCAACCTAATATTTCTATTGACGTCTTATCTATTGATAATGAAATACGAATTTTTGAGAATAATGAAGGTGAATCTTCTGAACATGTAGAGGAGCAAGCCGAAAATCAAGATATAATGAAAACGATCGAAAATATAAATATGTTTAGTACTAATGATCAAATTACATATGATGAAGCTATTGGTGAGATTACATATAACGAAGCTATTAGCGAACAAAACAAATCATTAGAAAATTGGTTATTGTTTGAAAATTTAAATAATGTATTGTAATTTGCATTTATGTTGCTTAATAATCAATTAATATTTTGTAATTTGCCTTTGCGTTGTTTAAAAATTAATTATAAAAATAATAATTGCTACAAAAAAAAAAAAAAAAAAAATCGAAAATTACTTATTATTACTTAATGCCAAAAAACTTAATTAATATTAAGTAATATTAGGTAAGAATATGTAACTTACTTTGCCCATCTCTA